TCTCATCCAGGGCTTATCAGGACAAGTCTAGCCCTTACACATTTGAAAAACCATAAACACAGTTTGCAGGTAGCTAAACACCCCACCCCCTGAAAAAACCACAGTGTTCCCATGGGAATGCTTGCTTTCCACCCCCTGACTCCATTTGCTGTGTTTAGCCCTTTGAAAGTAAGTATTAGCACTTTGATGCTAATACTTACTTAGCTTTGACAGAGAGAACTGTGACTTCAGATCTCTCTGTCAAAAAATTCTGAGATATAGGCCAAATTTTCCCCACATTGTATTCCATAGACAGGGTTCAAATTAGAGTGGGAGTCAAGTGTACTGGCTATTAGGAATTGTGGGAGTTGAAATCCAAAACACCCGAAGAGCCAAAGTTTCCTCGTGCCTGCTTTAGATGCTGCTGGACTGTAACTCCCATATGCTCTGACCAGCAAAACCAATGGTGAGCTTTGCTGGTCAGAGCAGATGGGAGGTATAGGAAATGACACATATGAGGAAAGGTTGAAGGAGCTGGCCTGTTTAGCCAAGTGAAGAGACAACTAGGGGTGACATGTTTTTTTTCTTTTTTAATATTCAACTGTAACCTAGTTTTTGCCATTTCCTCTTTAACTTTTGTAAGTTAAAGTTGTTTCAAGTCTTTGCTTTTTTCTAGTGCCAATGCTTTCTAAAAACAGATCCTAAAATGCCAATCAGAAAAGCAAGGGAGCTGAAAATACACAGCTACACACAAGGTAATTTAACCTCTGCCCAGGTACAATCGTTCTGAATTCTCCACCAATGTGAATGAGAACCATTCATTTATATGACAGAAAATTGATGAGAAGACCCAGAGAGTTCACTGAAATATGAACTCAATGTTCTTCTTGCCTCTAATGATCCTTGCTCCATCCTGTTTGCTGAAGCCTAGCATCCATTGGTTAATCTCCCTACCTTTCCATTTACCTCTGTATTCATTCATCTGTCATCTTTCTAAGTACTGTAGAATATCATGGTGCAACATTTTGCTTATTTATTTTATTGAGAATATATTCGGCTTTCCTTCTAGCTCAGAATTAAAGGCAGCTAACAAACCAAACTAAGTAGGCTCTGTCTATGAAAGCCTATGCTTCAAAGTTCTTTTTCTTAGTCTCAAAGGTGCTACAAGATCCCTTTCAGGCTGTTTCAGAACAACGTGGCTATCTTTTAAAATGGTAAATACATACAATACACACAAAACAGTACAAACTACAAAACAGAAAAATGCAGCAATAAAAGGAGAGGCTCCAGCAAAGGATCACCGCCTTGTCGGGGCGCTGGAGCTTGAGCACCTCAATGATGTCATGAGCGAAACCGTGAAGGGCCACCCAAGACGGGACGGTTGTGGCAGAGAGGTCAGACCAAGCGTGATCCCTGGGGAAGGCAATGGCAAACCACTCCAGTATCTTTGCCAAGAAAACTAAATGGACCAGTACAACCAGAGATATGTCGGTATGCCATTGGAAGATGGGACTCCCAGGTCGGAAGATGGCCAAAATGCTACTGGGGAGAAGCAGAGGATAAGTTCAACTAGCCCCAGATGTGATGACGCAGCTAGCTCAAAGCCGAAAGGAAGGCTAGCGGCCGACGGTACTGGAGGTGAACGACGAATCCGATGCTCTAAAGATCAACACACCATAGGAACCTGGAATGTAAGATCTATGAGCCAGGGCAAATTGGATGTTGTTATTGGTGAGATGTCAAGACTAAAGATAGACATTCTGGGGGTCAGCGAACTGAAATGGACTGGAATGGGCCACTTCACATCAGATGGCCACCAGATCTACTACTGCGGACAAGAGGAACATCGAAGAAATGGAGTAGCCTTCATAATTAATAAGAAATTCGCTAAAGCGGTGCTTGGATACAACCCAAAAAATGACAGAATGATCTCAATTCGAGTGCAAGGAAAGCCTTTCAACATTACAGTGATCCAAATATACGCCCCAACCACAGCTGCTGAAGAAGCAGAAGTAGATCAGTTCTATGAGGATCTGCAGGACCTACTGGATAATACACCAAAAAGAGACATTATTTTCATTACAGGAGACTGGAATGCCAAGGTGGGAAGTCAAATGACAACAGGGATCACAGGCAAGCATGGTCTGGGAGAACAAAATGAAGCGGGACGCAGGCTGATAGAATTTTGGCAGGAAAACTCGCTGTGTATAACGAATACTCTCTTCCAACAACCTAAAAGACGGCTTTACACATGGACCTCACCAGACGGTCAACACCGAAATCAGATTGACTACATCCTTTGCAGCCAAAGGTGGCGGACATCCATCCAGTCGGTGAAAACAAGACCTGGGGCGGACTGTAGCTCAGATCACGAACTTCTTATTGCCCAATTTAGAATAAAACTAAAGAGATCAGGGAAAATACACAGACCAGTTAGATATGATCTCACTAACATTCCTAGCGAATATACAGTGGAAGTGAAGAACAGATTTGAACGACTAGATTTAGTAAACAGAGTCCCAGAAGAACTATGGACAGAAGTCCGAGACATTGTTCAGGAGACGGCAAAAGAGTCCCAGAAGAACTATGGACAGAAGTCCGCGACATTGTTCAGGAGGCGGCAACAAAGTACGTCCCAAAGAAAAAGAAAATGAAGAAGGCAAAATGGTTGTCTGCTGAGACACTGGAAGTAGCCCAAGAAAGGAGGAAAGCAAAAGGAAACAGGGATAAGGGGAGATATGCCCAGTTAAATGCGCAATTCCAGAGGTTAGCCAGAAGAGATAAGGAACTATTTTTAAATAAGCAATGCATGGAAGTGGAAGAAGACAACAGAATAGGAAGGACAAGAGACCTCTTCCAGAAAATTAGAAACATTGGAGGTAAATTCCAGGCAAAAATTGGTATGATAAGAAACAAAGATGGCAGGGACCTAACAGAAGCTGAAGAGATCAAGAGAAGGTGGCGAGACTATACAGAAGATCTGTATAGGAAGGATAATAATATTGAGGATAGTTTTGACGGTGTAGTGAATGAATTAGAACCAGACATCCTGAGGAGTGAGGTTGAATGGGCCTTAAGAAGCATTGCTAACAACAAGGAAGCAGGAGACGACGGGATCCCAGCTGAACTGTTTAAAATCTTAAAAGATGATGCTGTCAAGGTGATGCATGCCATTTGCCAGCAAATATGGAAAACACAAGAATGGCCATCAGACTGGAAAAAATCAACTATATCCCCATACCAAAAAAGGGAAATGCGAAAGACTGCTCCAACTTCCGTACAGTGGCCCTTATTTCTCATGCCAGTAAGGTAATGCTCAAGATCCTGCATGGAAGACTCCAGCAATACATGGAGCGAGAGTTACCAGATGTTCAAGCTGGGTTTAGAAAAGGTAGAGGAACGAGAGACCAAATTGCCAATATCCGCTGGATAATGGAGAAAGGCGAGTTTCAGAAAAACATCTATTTCTGCTTCATTGACTACTCTAAAGCCTTTGACTGTGTGGATCATAATAAATTGTGGCAAGTTCTTGGGGGGATGGGCATCCCAAGCCACCTTGTCTCTCTCCTGAGGAATCTGTACAAGGACCAAGTAGCAACAGTCAGAACTGACCACGGAACAACAGACTGGTTCAAGATTGGGAAAGGCGTACGGCAAGGCTGCAGAACACATCATGCGATGTACGGAGCTTGATGAATGCAAGGCTGGGGTGAAAATTGCTGGAAGAAACATTAACAACCTCAGATATGCAGATGACACCACTCTGATGTGCGAAAGCGAGGAGGAGCTGAGGAGCCTTCTAATCAAGGTGAAAGAAGAAAGCGCAAAAGCCGGGTTGCAGCTAAACGTCAAAAAAACCAAGATTATGGCAACAAGAATGATTGACAACTGGAAAATAGAAGGAGAAACCGTGGAGGCCGTGACAGACTTTGTATTTCTAGGGGCAAAGATTACTGCAGATGCAGACTGTAGCCAGGAAATCAGAAGACGCTTACTTCTTGGGAGGAGAGCAATGTCCAGTCTCGATAAAATAGTGAAGAGTAGAGACATCAGACTGGCAACAAAGATCCGCCTAGTCAAAGCCATGGTATTCCCTGTAGTCACCTAGGGATGTGAGAGCTGGACCTTAGGGAAGGCTGAGCGAAGGAAGATCGATGCTTTTGAACTGTGGTGTTGGAGGAAAGTGCTGAGAGTGCCTTGGACTGCGAGAAGATCCAACCAGTCCATCCTCCAGGAAATAAAGCCCGACTGCTCACTGGAGGGAAAGATACTAGAGACAAAGTTGAAGTACTTTGGCCACATCATGAGGAGACAGGAAAGCCTAGAAAAGACAATTATGCTGGGGAAAGTGGAAGGCAAAAGGAAGAGGGGCCGACCAAGGGCAAGATGGATGGATGGCATCCTTGAAGTGACTGGACTGACCTTGAAGGAGCTGGGGGTGGTGACGGCCGACAGGGAGCTCTGGCGTGGGCTGGTCCATGAGGTCACGAAGAGTCGGAGACGACTGAACGAATGAACAACAACAAAAAGGAGAGGCAACAAAATAATCAATGTTCTGGTTGAAGTTTTGCTGAAACAAACTATGTTTTCAGCAAGTGAAAAATGCCATCAGAGACTTTGAAAATCCCTCTCTTGACAGATTTATAAGTCAAAGAGATGCTCCAGTTCCAAAAGCTTTCAGGAAAAGATGTGGCCCTACAGATATTTCTGGACCATAAATTCCATTGTTCCTTTCCACTGGGTAATGCTGGTGGCAAGGCATCAATGTGAGTCCAACAATATCTGGAGACCTGCACATTCCTCATCCCTGCTTTAGAGCTCTGCAGAGAATTGTAATCTGCCATTTGAATCTAGAAACAGATCCGTAAACTGTGCCATTTGCACTGTCCCTGCAGGATTATAGGCTGGAAATCACTGTTATAGAGCATTGCCTTATGTAGAACACTAAAACCCATGAATTCTTCCAGATTCCATGGTTTCCATGGTGGCATGAGTGGCCGCTAGCCATCAGAAGAAGCCCCATGAGTCATCAGCAACAGCCCCCTCCAACCCCTCGGCCACCACCCCCTCTCTACTTTCCTTCCCTCTATGACCGAACGGCACAAAACACCACCCTAGCTGACTGCAGCCTCTGGCGGAAGCTTTTTGTGCCGTTGCGAGGGGGTGAAGTGGGACCAACTGGGCCCCAGAGACCTCCACCTGGGCTTGGGATTCTCCCGCCAGCCAATGACCGCTGCTGCCCACCTGCTTGGCCAGCAGGTCTGGCCCCCATCCCATATGAGCCATTGCGGTTCTTCTGTCCTGCTGCTGAGACCACCCCTCAGTATGGGACTACGATACATCAGCAGCAACAGCCAGATGGGGAGATTTGTGAGCTTGGCATCCGTCTGAAGGAGCTAGAATTGCTGGCACTCACTGGAGACGGCTCAGATCCACAGCAGTGTGAGTAACCCAATGCATGTGCCCCAGAGGTTCATCATAGAAAAATCTACAAAAACAAAATAACACAGAATAAAATTGTAGAACTACAGAGGAAAGGACTCAAGGGCCATCAGTTTCAGTGCAGCTTTTACTATTAGGAAGTTCAGCCTAATATTTAGACAGGATTTTTTGTCTTGTAATTTGATTATATTAATTCATGTGTAATCTCTTGAGCAACATAAAATAAGTTTGCTCCATATTCTATGTGATTTCAATGCAAAGATAAGGGATCATACCTTTGAAACTGAGAAATTAAGTTGTCCTCTACTGAGGTTTGCTTCCAGGTTCCCCTGTGGACACCAACATTCATGGATGGTCAAGTCCCATCATATGCAATGGCATAGTGCATGGTGCCCCTTATATAAAATGTAAAAAAAATAATCAAGGTTAGCTTTTGGGGTTTTTTTGTTTGTTTGTTTGTTTTTTTGAGGGAGACACTGTCAAGTCATGCGTGATTGAATCCTTGGGAAATGTATGAGCTTTCACGGACTGCACACTTTCATAGGTTTTTATGGACTTCATTATGCATTTAATCAGAAGCATGAAGTGACATATGGCACTCTATGCAACTAATGAAGTAAATGTTAGTTAGGAGGCCATATCCATCATTCTAGGAGTGGGGGGTGGTAGTTTATTTATTTATTTATTTATTTATTTCGCGCATTTCTACCCCACCCTTCTCAACCCCCAAGGGGGAACTGAGTCCTCATAGGAGATGGCAACCAAATATTCATCTCAAGACACAGAGACCTTTTAAATGAATTGAAGACAGATGTTGAGCAACCATTTGGCTCCCAGTTGACCTGCTGGTGTCACAGTGCCTACCGGAGGAGCAAGATTATGTGATTCCCCAGATGTTTTGGCCTTCAACTCCCAGAAATCCTAGACTGCAGAACTTTTTCCCAAAATTGAATGCTATAGGGTGGGGGAGGGACATGATGTCATTTTCTATCTGGAAAGAGGGGAACAATATATTCAGCGCTCTTTCCCAATAGCATGTTGTGGGTTGCAAACTTTGAAGAAACCTTCAGAAGGGTGGCAAGGTCTCAGATGTAAAGGAAATGGACAAAAAAAATTCTCTTTCCTGTTGTTAGCAGGGACTTATATAAGATCCCCTCCTGTGTGAAAGCGAGGCATTTTTTTCTTTATTTTTTCTTTGTTTCATTTTTTTCTGTCCTGTTTATGAAGAAACATGAAGAGTGGAGTGAGTAAAACTCAGTCACTTGCACTGTTTGATTTCTCTTCCATGCTGCTAGAGAGGGTGAAGCTGTGAGGGGGAAATTGTGGTAAAATGAACTTGGAACTTGAAACAGGGTTGACTTCACAGGTCTTAAAAACCTTCTGGACCCAAGTCCTCAGTCTGGATGGATTGATCTGTTTTTTTTTTTTTTTTTTGCATTCTTTCACGTATCCTATTAGTCTTTCCACCAAATTTGTGAAGACAATTTTGAGTTTTTCCAAAAAAAAATTAAGCAACCAAAATTCTTCCCTTAGGAAGGGGCACAATAGGTCACCAAGAAACCCTATCCTTAAAAGCAAAACTGTATTGTGTTATGTTCCACATAAGAACTTCCTTTTTTGCTGAATCAGGAGCTTTGCTTTTCTTTCGTGTCAGGCGCTACTTGAGAAACTGCAAGTCGCTTCTGGTGTGAGAGAATTGGCTGTCTGCAAGGATGTTGCCCAGGGGATGCACAGATGTTTTGATGTTTTACCATCTTTGTGGGAGGCTTCTTTCATGTCCCCACATGGGGAGCTGGAGCTGACAGAAGGAGCTCATCCACACTCTTCCCAGATTCAAACCTGCAACCTGTCGGTCTTCAGTCCCACCGGCACAAGGGTTTAACCGGGAGCTGAGAAGAAGGGAATGCCTGAATTGATGTCAGATCCCAAGGGTGATCCCATGAGCAGATTTCTTTGAACCACATAACAAAGATTTCCACAGAATTTGGAAGGGTTTGCTTTTTTGGGCCATGACGCAAAATTCTCCAGACAGCTGGGTTATGAAAGCTGTACTCCAACAAAGTAAAATTTCCAAACTCTGCCTTTTCTCTGACAGTAATATTTATGATTTTGTCTCCGCAAAAACCAGTTACTCTTTTCCCTCCCCTTTAACTTGATATATGATTCTGACAAATGTTGTTTACATTATTTTACCAAATTATTGTACACTAGTATTTATGGACAATTAATGTTAAATTCATTTTTTTCTAGATAAGCTTCTTAAGGCTCTGAAGGATGAGAAGACAGACGATGTAATAACAGGATTGACAATGAAGAAAAAATCACCTCCATCATGAGAATTATTTACATCTGATCTTACATGATTCTATTGACATTATGTATCATTTTAATGACTACATATTTTCTTCAACTCTTGACAAAATGGAAATTTACAACTTATTCTTCAGTTAACATTTTGTACATTTTCCAGTATTGTATATTTCAAATACAAGCTTATCTAATGTTTCAGGCTGATAATTTTCCAGTATCTGCTTGTGTGTGCATCACATTAATGCTGTTCTTATGGGCCTTCAAGTCACCTCTGTGTTATGCTGACCCTAACATATAGGGGATTTTTAAGAAAACATTTATTCAGAGGACTATTGCCACTGTCTTTATTATCCAGTGGCTTTCCATGGCTAGCAGAGATTTGAACCCTGGTCTTCCAGAATACTAGGGTGCATCTACATTGTAGAATAAATGCAATTTGGTACCACTTTAACTGCCATGGCTCAATGCTATGGGATCCTGCCATTTGTAGTTTGATGAAACACCAGCACTTTTTGGCAGAGAAGGTTAAAACTACAACTCCCATGATTACATAGCATTGGGATATGGCAGTTAAAGTCATTTTTTTGTGTCAGGGGCAACTTGAGAAATTGCTAGTCACTTCTGGTGAATTGGCTGTATGCAAAGATGTTGCCCAGGGGACACCTGATTGTTATGGAGCCCCCAGTGGCACAGTGGGTTAAAGCCCTGTGCCGGCAGGACTGAAGACCGACAGGTCACAGTTTCAAATCCGGGGAGAGGCGGATGAGCTCCCTCTATCAGCTCCAGCTCCCCATGCGGGGACATGAGAGAAGCCTCCCACAAGGATGATAAAACATCAAATCATCCTGGCGTCCCCTGGGCAACATCCTTGCAGACGGCCAATTCTCTCACAACAGGAGCGGTCGCTCCTGACACGACAAAAAAAAAAACCTGATTGTTTAATGCTTTATCATCCTTGTGGGAGGATTCTCTCATGTCCCTGCATGGAGAGCTGGAGCTGACAGAGGGAGCTCATCTGAACTCTTCCTGGATTCGAAACTCTGACCTGTCAGTCTTCAGTCCTGCTTGCACCAGGGTTTAACCCCACTGTGCCACCAGAGACTCCTTTTGCCAATTAAAGTGGTGTCAAATTGCAATTACATTACACTGGCCACATGGCGGTAAGACCAATATATTATTGAAGTTAAATCTCAGGTTTCAAAGTATTGTGCATTTATGTTACATTACATGCTTAGGAAGTGAATAGCATACTCAGGAGTATGTGCATAGACTGCTTGATGACTGTAAGATGCTTGAGAGTTTGAGAATAGTTGACATCATTGAGTTGCTGAAGTTTTTAAGGGTTGTTTAACATATATATGGGTAAAACTATATGTTATGAGATATGCATATTCCCTATGATTAACCCATTGTATTGCTACAAAGCAAAGATCCATGCCTCAGCAATCTAATCTGAAAATTAAACCTTGTCACAAAGCATAATACACTAAATACAAAATACATATGTGAGGAAAATTGCACGAGATGAAAACATGTGCCTTTCATCACTTGGAAACAAACATGTTAAAATAGTATCTGACTTTACCCTATATTAGGAACATAGGAAGTTGGTTTAGGCTGGATATATACTGCCATATGAAATCCAGATTATCTGCTTTGAACTGGATTATATGGCAGTGTAGACACATATAATACAGTTCAAAGCAGATAATGGGGATCATCTGCTTTGATAATCTGGATTATATGGCAGTGTAGACCCAGCCATATATCAATTCCAAGTGTTGTTTCATAGAGCTCAATATAGGATAAGCATCCCTCATCCAGAAAATTGAAATCCCAAATATTCATTTAGTGTACCAATGTTGTTTTTTACATCCCTAACACACACATACACCACACACGCCGATGCTCTGGACTGCTATTTTTTATTTGTCAACCAAAAAAATGTGTGAATCATTTTATTTGGAAGCCCCAGGGATCGGTGATTCATTTTTTAAGTAAGCCACAGTGGTTCACATTTAAAAAAAAAACCCATAGGCATCCTGGAGGCAATAGTTTTGGGAGTCTTGTAAATCCCAGACCTGCCAACATCACCCACCCCTAACCTAGTTGCATTTGCAGCCTTTGCTTTCCTATCTACACACATCTTCACTGGACGCATGTTTTCTGTGTTCTCTCATTCCTCCTCTCTGTTTTCCAGGGATTTTGTAGCTCATTCCTATACTTTCTTCTCTGTTGGAGAAACAACAGGAGTGAAGTACAGTTCTGAATATGGGCAAGATTCGGAATTACATTGTAGAAACCCTGCATTATACACTAGATGGCAGTATGCAACAATACTTCAACACTTGGAAACTTTTGTTGCATGCTTTCAAGTTGTTTCCTACTTTTGGAAGTTTTACCTTTGCAGTAATCAATGATCTGTTGTAACTTCCCATTTCTCCTGCCAATACATGAATCACCTGGCACCAGCCCCATAGCCAGGATTTTGATTCAGAGGGGGCTGAGTTTGATTCGGGGGGGGGGGGGGGATGAGGATCTACCCTAGCAAACCTTTTGTATCGTTATCCCAATACCTCCATGCATATGGGATATATTGAGCATGGTGATCAGATCATGATATGAATAAACATAATAGTTTAAATAATGTACCAGTAAGGCCTTTTCGCGAACCACCATGAGAATTTGGGGGGGCTGAAGCCCCTCAAGCCCCCCCCCCCCCCCCGGCCTGGCATCAATATTTCACATATGTTGCATGTTGTATCTTCCACTGACAATAATACAATCTGTCCAATGACTTTAATCTAACATTCTAGAATTAGTTCAACATAACTTCCACAAGTGCAACATGTTTCCTATTGAACATGGGAGACCCGAGGACCTGAATATTTGAATAAAGATCCAGATCCAGACCTGAGCTGGATGCAGTTGCTTTCCAAATCAAGGTCTAAATCAAATCTTGTGATCACTCCACATGCCTAGAAAGGAGAATACTTCCACTGTCTTCATATTAGAAATATGCAAAAAAGGGAGCCTGGGTTTCAGCAACAAGGTTAAGGAAACATCCTTCCTGGGACCCTTTCCTTTCTTCCCTTCAAGGGAACCTGGGTTTTATCAACAGGGTTAAAGAAGCTTGCATAAAACACGTCACAGCGTTCTTCTATTCCGACTGGCCCAACAGGCAGGGCTCACAGGGAAACACCGTGCGAGGAGGAGCACGCAGCGGCAGCCTCTTTGCGCACCACATGCTCCTGAAAAGAGGAGGAGGAGCCATGATCAGTTGCCATGTGGTGCCCTTATGGACAGAAAATTGTGACGGCTGAGCCCTTGCTGTTACAGCCATCTGACCAAACCGAAGAAGCTGGATTGGCCAAAGGAAAATCAGACTGGCACACAAGCCTAGTTCCCAGCAAACATGCATGAGAATGTAACAGAAATGAGAATGCTCTCCCCTGAAAATTGTAGAAACTGGACAGGGTTATATGAAAAAATCTAATCCTTCAAATAACCTGGATATGAACCATATTTGGCTTTATAGCAGACAATGGAGTGGTTGCAACAAGGGTGCTGCATGCAGTTAACAATATAGCTGTAGCTGTAGCTCTTTTGAACAGTTCCGCAACATCCCAGGCTAGGAAATTTCAGGGTCCATCCTTGTAATCTAAGGATGTCTCTTGGTGATATCATCACAGCAGGTGGGTGCTTGTGTTGTCATTTAGCATAGTACATTAAGTATCAACCAGAGCATGCAATCCAAATAATGTATACTTCACTGAACAAATGATTAAGTAGGTGTTATTTTCCAATATATTTTCTTGCTCTGTTTTTAACACTTTTCCAAGCCCTGGATTTAAAATAAGTTGAGAGTGGTAGTATAACCAAAGGAAGTATCCAAGTTCAGCTTTAAATATTGTACAGTAGCTCCTACAAAGATGCCTGTAAGACAGGCATATGCATAGTAATGTGGGTGAATGGGTAATATTTCCAATGAAATTCTTTTTGCCTTTCACTTGCCGTGAAAAAAGGGGTCACATCCTGAGATCAGGGGATCCAGTACTCACCTTGTCTATATTTCTCATAGCTTTTTCTTTTTAAATAAACACGTGCAATAGTCAAGAGAATTAAAGGGTCATTCGTACACCAAGAAGGCAATGTTTTCCATTGCACAAGAACCCAGGTTATTGCCACTTTTAAGAGGTGGGAAGAGTTTCGGCTTTCTGACACAGCATCCCTTTTCTAAAATGGGAAGAGCAACTGTCTATAAGTCCCTCGCTGTGTTCTGCACTTGGCCATGGCCTTTTGTTCTTCACTGATCATTATTTACACTCTAAACATGATGATCAGTGAAGAACAAAAGGCCATGATCAAGTGTAGAACACAGCGAGGCACTCAAATCTTTCCCATAATCCGATAAATGAATCCATTCTTTATGAAAGGTTGCCATCTGTATGTGATAGCTCTACACTTTTATACATTCTTCCTCTGGCAGCTTGCTTTTAAGGAGCTTATTTTGACTTAAGCAGTGATTGAATAGATAGCAATATTAATTCCACCCACTTACTTACTTATGTGAGTTTTGAAGACCATTTTCAATGTATTTATTGTATTTTAATCTGTTTTTACCACACTGTTATGGTTCAACTTTTGTATTGTGCTTTTTAAACTTGTCGAAGTGTGGAATTGTTAGTCACCTTGAATCCCCACAGGGAGAAAGGCAGGGTATAAATAAAGTTAATTATTATTATTATTATTATTATTATTATTATTATTATTATTCACAATATGTTTTCTCCTCCTCAGACTGAAGAACACGTAAGGTTCTACACACACACCATAGTTATATACATGCACACATAGAGAAATTGGCACAGAGAGGTTGAGAGAGAGAGATTGCAGCTAAGATACAACTACCTGAAAAACCAGCTGCAAAACTTTAGCAAGGCCTTTTGTTCTAGGACCCTTCCATGCTACAGTTATATTGCTATGTTTCCACTTAACTGCCATGGTTTCATCCTATGGAATTCTGGGATTTGCAGCATGTATCATTTTCAGCCTAATGCCCCACCAAACAACAAACCCCAGAATTCCCTAAGATGCAACCATGTCAATTAAAATGGAACCATAGTGCTATAAGT